GTTAGAGTCACATTGCTACCACTTAATTCAGCAACAGAACTGGGAAAGAAATCGAAATATGAGAAATTATTTCACTGTGCCTTTTTCTCAAACAGGTATGTTAATTATCAGTGCCTCATAATTTGACCTATTAAACCTCTTAAGAGCAGACATGGGGCTAGCACTTAAGCATTTGTGCATAAGCAGTTTAAGCACTTTTTTGTAAATGCTTGAAGGTGCTTGCAAGCATTAATCATATTGCAAGCACTTGTGCTTGACTTGTACTTAAGCTCTTTTTAATGTAAATGCTTTAAAGCTCTTTTTAAGCACTTTTAAGCACTAATGCTTGTATGTGTTATCAGTTACCACTAATATAGCTGTCATGCATGTGTATGACATCTATCATAACATACGCATGAGACCTGCTGTCAGTTTAACCTTTAAAGATGGCCACAACCACGAAGAAGCTACCAGATTTTATTTCTTCAATCTTTTTGAAGATTTGAGTGGTGCTTTCAGAGCCTAAGTGCTGCAAGTATTGCCATAACTTATAGATTGAGTGCTTTACCTGTGCTTTAAACACTTTTAACAGTGCTTTAGATATTGCTTGAAGCACGTTTTTAATTACAGAGTAAGTGCTTGTGCTTGTGCTTAAGCATTTTCACAAGTGCTTTATGATGTGCTTCAAGCATTTTAGAAAGTGCTTGCCCCATGTCTGCTTAAGAGTAGTCTGGTGATCAGCCCAAGACTATCTTAAGAGTACTTGTACCATACTTGAGTAAAAAGACATAGGCTAGCTAATTTAGTGTTGTTTTAGTTAACTATAACTAAAACTAAAACCACTTTTAGTTAGGCATATTTACTTTCAGTTAACTAACTATAACTAACTAAAAGACATTGTAAAACACAGAACTAACTATAACTAACTAAAACAGTTCACAGATTTTAAAAACTAACTATAACTAACTAAAACACTTCACAAATTTAAAAAACTAACTATAACTAACTAAAATTTACAGTATTTCAACTAAAACATACGCAAGCGCTTGTCTATCACAGCCACCATCAGTAATTGTACAAACAATACATGCTGAATACATACAAGTGATCACATGGTTTGCACATGGTTTACACATGGCTTATTGTATTAGCCTTACAGCTGAGTTGACCAATGGCAAGAAATGAAGTCTCTTAAATCTTGCTATCAATCTGATTCATTAGAAGGACCAAAAAAAGATCATTACTGGAAGGCCAAAAGCAAGCCTTGTTTGGGAGCTGTTCCCCTAGACCTTTTAGATTTTTGGACTCAAAATGAACACTTAATCCCAATACTAGCACCATTTGCTCAAGACATTCTTTTAGCTCCAGCATCCTCAATCCCAGTTGAAATGATTTTTTCCAAATCTGGTTACTCATCAAGTGGACGAAAAAATCAATTGGCTGGAAGTAATTTAGAACAAGAAGTACTGCTTAAAACAAATAAGCAATGCACATAAACATGCACTCACATTAACTTGGCATTGATTGATTATAATACACATAAAAACATTTTCATAACTAACTGCTACAATTTCAATGTATTGACGTTAATAACTATAACTAATAGTGACTCAGAAATTTCATAACTAACTATAACTAACTAAAAGCAATTCAGAAATGTCATAACTAACTATAACTAACTAAAAGTGCAGAATGTGATATAAAAACAACACTACTAGCTATGTTATTTTATTTATTTCAGTATGATACATCATCTAACATCTGTCAATGGACTGGACAGAGTAATGAATGAAAGATGCTTACTGATATGTGAAACGGCAAGGTACATTAGATTTTATAATATTGAATATTAGTAATGCTCACAGATTCATACTTGATTTGAGAAAAGAGAATAAAGATGAATATCTTAAGAAAGTAATGCAAATGGCTTTGGCCATTGGATTTAAGGTATTATGATAGTGCTTTGGTTAAATTTATTATAAATGTCACAGTCATCTCAAGTCGAAACAGATGCTAGCAATACTCTGTTGTTCACACTATCATGATGATTGCCATCATTAGCACTCCTTATCACTTATTGTTACTAATATGACAATTTATTATTATTCATAAAACACTAAAATTATGATGATACAGATAAATAGTCATTGATTTCTTCATTTTCATTTCGGAAAACAAGGTTTCTTTCTATATAGTCCATGATCCCCTTATTGTAGCTACTGATGTATTTATTGTGAAAGAATTGTGACCTAGCTTCCGATCTCTGCTCTAGCCAGTTAATATCACTAGTGCTAACCACACATATGCTATGCCTGTAGTGTTTAGCCCTGCATATCAAAGGATCATCATTATTCTGTTGAAATATCCTTGTTGAAACTATCGGAAGTTCAAAATTCAATTGTTTCCGTTTGAGCCAGCCACCTGGTGCCTCTGGAAGGTTGTTGAGTGTACTGAAGAAGTACTCCTCAGCACTCATGACGTCTTGTAAATACTTTCGTAGAGCTATAGCCTTAGGAGATGAGAATATAAATTTCACAAAATCTCTAGAAAAAGCACTTGTAGGTCCATCTGCACTTTTATATATTGTCAAATTGTAAGGGGCTGA